ACAGTCAGACTCTGGCAGTCTTTCTGATGGACAGATCAGCGCAGAAACAGAGCGATGCTACACACAAGTGCCACCGTCGATCAGCACACGTGCCTCGTGCGTATTCTAATCTAGTCGTTCTTCTCGGGAGAGCAGGTTTAAACCCTGACAGCCTGTCACAGCCCGATCTGAAGCTTTGAAAATAGACCATCATGACTCTTTTCACACCTTGTCAGTACGACTAGCCTCTACATCAGACGATCCCGGGAAACCTTCCTTTTCACTTACAGAGGGATCGAGATGTTCACTTTACACCTGCAGACGCTCCCAAGGTGCACTTGTTAAGGGAAACTCTGTTTTTAAATCAATATGATGAGAGAAAGCTCTGTTCATTGGCGTTGAAATGTAAAATGGAGATCATTTCTGAAGCTTCTGGATGTTATTGTACGTTGTCTATGAGATAAACTTAAAAATTTGCATCTCTGGATTTGGAAACATGAAAATGCCTGTCTATGATTGGATGATCTTCCTCTCGGGCGGGGCCCAACTAGCCTGTAGAACTAAAAGCATTTCCACCTTCTTCTTTTCCTTTCGGCTGTTCCCAGTTTAGGGGTCGCCACAGCGAATCATCCTTTTCCACCTAACTCTGTCCTCAGTATCCTCTACTCTTGCACCAACTACCTTCATGTCCTCTTTCAGCACATCCATATATCTCCTCTTTGGTCTAGCTAAAAGCATTTCCACCATTTATTATTATTTATTATTATAAGTTCACGATATGTACACACCTTCCAGAACACACCGCAGTAAAACGAGATCCCAAAAACAATCGTTTGAAACTTTAATTATAAAGAGCGTAAAGAAGCAGATCGAGTGATGATTTCAAAGAAGTCCAAATGTGTATCGCAGCAGGAAGATGAAACAGAAGAAGCTGCTGAAAGCCTGATTGCCAAAGAGTTTCATCAGCCCACCAGAGCGAGCGAGCGAGCTTTGGATTACTCACACGCAGACGACTCAAACAAACAATCTCATGAACCGTTCACTCATCGAGATTTCAGCTCTTTCACGGAGTCGAGAGATAAAGGCATTGATTCAGGAGTTCAGAATTCTCATTCTTATATCACTGTTAGTTTTCACTGAAGAGGATAACGCTCTCAATCAGAGCACAGGCCTGTTATTTACAGAGAAATGCTTGGTGCGTTTTACATAAAGATTCAGTTGATGTTTTTCCTTTGTTTCTCATCTTTCCTTCTGCTTCCTTTAATGGCTCGCATTCAAATAAATACAATAATGAAATTGTACAGTTGTGCTCAAAAGTTTGGCCATTTCTCAGATATTATGATTTGTGTTTGGGTGAAGAACCAATGACGACAGAAACTTTCCAAAAGCCCCGGTGACACAGAAGGGTTCGAGTGACTGGTAAAGGTATCTACGGATGGTGTCCCGATACGATACTTTCATCACCTCATTTGCATAAAATCCATGTGACAATAATGAATTACCTCCCTGTCCCCCCCCCCAATGCTTTTCTTTTAATGCAAAAACACAAGTATTGCTTTGTAATGTTGATTTAAACATGAGATATAAAACAAAAATACATGCATGTAAACATGATCATTCATTTAGTTTTCTGCACTAAAAAATAATGTTTAGAGAGTCAGAAAGCTGGATTAGTTTGTTTTGTAAGCTGCGTGCGGACGGAATAACTCACATAAACAGGATGCTACGCTTGTGAAACAGTACGGTACTTCCAAACGTAACTTTTCATTATAAAGACCCACAATCTCGAAAACCTTTTCTCTGCATCATGTGTGTGCTTATATCGCAAGCCATTTCAACATACTACCAATAAACATAATTAAAGAAAGGAACAAATGCGTTCTGACCAGATCTTCAATTCTAGTTGCATTAGTGAACTATCTCCGATTATATTGTGACTAGTCAAAACTTATTTGAAGATATCTGCAACGACATCACGGTGACGCCGTGTCCTTAATTAGCTTTATGTACATTAATCATATGAGCAATGAATGTTTGGACTAGACACACAGCTGCAGATATCTGCAATTACAATTATGACTACTGAAAATTTACTTATGACTAGGTTTACATGTTAAAAAGGCTTGCCATGTGCTTGCACCAGCTAAAGCCAAGTGTCACCGCGGCACACTGCTGCTCAGTGCTCCTCTGAAGCCAGCGGCGTCTCGTTTGAGTGCAGTGTTTTGGTGAGCATATACAAGGAAGATTGCCGTAATGAACTGGCTGCAGTGAGGGAGACAGGTTTCATGGCGTCAGAAGAACAAACTATGTAAGAAAACAGTCTGAAAAGTCACAAAGATCGACCGTGACGTCCGATTCCTACTTGAGTCTGAAACCATGTGATCGGGTCTACTTTCTGATCATGTGACCTAAAGGTAACCATCCTCTCCTGTTCGCTGAGTCAGTGCATCGACATGCATTAATAGGAATAAATGAGACCATAATCATTTTAGTTTTTAGGGAAATCTCTAAATTTGGATTGGGGTTACTGTATAAACAGCAGCGAGTGAATCGACAGCCACATCAGCCACAATCAACACTAAATAAAACGTGTCTATTGGATGTCTTCAGCTGCGTTTATATTATTTGTGTTTGGTTTTGTTTTTGCTTGGCTAGACACCTTTCAGATTCGAGAAAAGCATGATGAATCACGCTCGTGATGTCGAGAGCCTTTCGCACGGCCCATTACATGTAACCAAACAAAACACTGGTCATGGCCATCATTCTTCTCCAGATTGAGAAAAACGCAGCAAGCCTCAAACTCATTAGCGCTAGTGACTGCTAATGGAACCAGTATAAATGGCATTGTTGAGGCACAACAGCACCAGTTAATTTTTTCAATTAAATTATTCCAATTGATTTGTGCATTGAAAAACATACGCACACTTCCCCTCCCCCTTTACAAATGGAAGCCAAGCTGTGTTTCTACCGGTCCTACAACAATTGAACCTGAAAACGAACGAACGAACGGATTGGAAGGGGTCGAACTGAATCAATTATTGCTTTGGGGTCAGAAACCAACATCCCACGCTCCTCCTCATCGATACTTTTTCATAGCATTTTACCCCTTAAACACGGCCTGGAAAATAAATGAACCGGAAATATTATTGAGTTTTGGAACAAGATTTACATTTCCTGTCAGAGTACTAATGCTTATGCTAATAGTGCTAATACGGAAGACAAGCATGGGTTCATTGCATCAGAACAATATAAAGTATGTTCAAATCAAATGCTGCAGTCATCTTTAGCATCTTTGCTTATTCACCTGATGTGATTCACTGGTTGAATTGGTGCCATGACCCGGTAGACTTTGAGGTGGATGGGTGCAATATAAATCAGCTAAAAGGGAATGAGTGATACTCTTGACTCGACAGTTAAAAAAAAAAAACTTAATGAGGAATATTGGTGCCGTGACCCGGACAGAAGTTTAGCTTTTATGGTTTTTATGGGCATCGATGAATGGTTTCCATCTGTACATGGCGTGTTAAAGTTATACTTTTTGACATTCATAGAACACGAACCAGGAAAAGCTCAAAAGACGTTCAGAAGTTAAAATATTATGGTCCATGTAGTTGTCAAGAAGAATGTAAAAAACTTTTCTATTGCCTCATTTCTTTTCTAACAATGTGTAGAAGATGACCTCTCGGGTGGGTTCTGCGTTTCTGGTGCTGAGTGAGTGCCGTATGCACAGGGGATGTGTTTCCCATCAGACCAGAAACATGAGGAGCTCTAAGACGTGATGGTCCCACTGGGATCCATTCAGCCAACTTAAGTCACGTGAAGAATCCACGTCCTGTCAGCTATTGATCCCACTCTCCATTCGCTCTCGAAAGTACAAATGAGTCTCTCGTCTCCTCCGAAAGCCCCATCGAGCTTCAGTGGGGCTCATTTGCTCTCTGCCTCTCTTTCTCTGTATCTGTCTCGTTCTCAGAGCTGTCTCTTGAGGAACGGATGCAAAAACCATCTGGATCATGACCTCTCTCGATGCATGATGGGAGAAATTAAAATGAATTGACAGGGGGACTCCTGACCCACTAGTCCGTGTGATCCAGGAGCACCAGAGCTAGCATCTACTGCTTCTTTATCTGCATAATGTTTCAGCTTCTATCGTGTAAACTGAGAGCTAGTAATTAACAGCGAGACAGTTGATCTATTTCTCCTGTCTTTCTCTCACATTGAGCCGCTGTCCAATCGACAGACTGCACTTAAGCTTCCAAAGCAAGACGCCTCTCCGGCCAAAGCTAATTGTTTCCATCTCTGAGGTAATCAGCAGGCTCCGGGAGCCATGACAGTGACACACTGCGGCCCACTGTTTGGCTGATGCATCTTTTTCCTGCCCCTCTGCATCTGCTCCTAAAACACAGCTTCAATTCTTCATTCGGAAGTTCTGGTGCTTCACCAGAACACACCTGCTCATCCGTGGAATTTTGGCAGATGAAAAAAAAACACAGTGTTGTCCTCAACAATGTGTTGTTGTCTTTTTTTATTCGACGTAGAGCTCTCATGACCAAGAGATTGATGCTCGTTGGACCAAGATTTGTTTTACTTGCTGCTTTTTGGTTCAAACCCATGTGTTTGGTGCCGCATTTTCTAAATCACAGCAATTTTACATCCGTCTTTGAAGAAAATATGTTTGTCTGTGCTTTAACACTCATGTGATGAGCTCTGCACATGGATTCTTTCTCAGGACATTCAGTGATTTTCAGGAACTTTAATGTGAAAACAACAACTTTTTTCCTCTATTTCCTCTTTTATATGTTGCAAGCTCGCACACATTTTCCTCATTTCTGTCACATCTCCATCAGAACTATTGCAGGCCACTCTCTGGCTTCTTTTTCCAGACACTGGAGCCTGGAGAACGAGAAGTTCTAGAACAGATTCAATGTTTTTCCACCACAACTCTTTCTGGGCTGAGCTTCTTGGTTTATTCAACACTTCAGAAATCTTTGGCTCTGTCTAGCCTAGACGTTTCTCCATTTCAGCTTCCTGTGCATCAGTCAGTAGAGCATTGAGCTAGCAACGCAAAGATCATGGGTTTGAATCCCAGGCGAGAACGTTTCACACTGCTCTTAATCCCAGGCTATTGCCGTTCTAAACACTGCTTTTGAACGTTACAAATATATGCAACCACAAACAAACAAACAAACAAACACTTGGAGGTTATGCGTCAAGATTATTCCTCCACCGAACCATGCACCCTTCACTGAGACTGAGTGGCAAAACAAGAGAGAAAATGGTTTGGTTTAGTGGGGAAAAGTTTGAACCAGGAGTTATTCTGATGGCTACAGGATAAAGGTAAAACTAATTGGAAATACAACATCCAGCTTTCCGTAAAAATCGAGATTTATACAATCCTGGAAAGAAAGTACACAAAACAAAGTTTAAAGGCGTATAAAAGTGTCAATGCATGGGCAAACCTTAAAGTGAATTTTTGTCTGTGAATAAGTGACGAAGACATTATTGGACTTCCGAGAAAAGTTTTAGCCAAATTTAGTACTTTGTACATAACATAACATTTAATTTCATTTGCCACTCATTCCGTGACTTCCAGCTTCTGCGACTCTATACCCTCTATATTTGAATTATGGCAAAACAAATTAAAGCTGCAAGCAGCAATCAAAGGGCTCTCAAACCTCAGGTACCACCGCATATGTCTTGTGGCCACCTGGTGGTGCTATAACAGAGAGTGTATGGGGCTGTATTGGGACAGATCAGACATTGTATGGCGGAGTAATAACAACTTCCGTATAGCATAGTATAAAACAGCAGAAAATGTGATATACCATGTTGCCACTAGGTGGAGCCATAATTGACATTCTAGGTTTCTATTAATATACACTCAGACATGGACTCCTAGCATGCAGGGCAAATCTGAACCTAATCCGACATTGCATGGCCGAGTTAACAACAACTTCCTGTTTATTGTTATTAACAACTTCCTGTTTAACAAAAATTTGGAATTTCTAAAGCGGCCACTGTGCACACAAAAAAAGCTTAACAATTTAACATCCCATATGCCTTAATACAAGACTGATTTCGTTTGTAGGGGAACGGATACAATCTCTAGAAGGAGTTTGGTAAAGTACAACACAAGCAAAAGAGGCCATTTTTAGAGGTTTTTGCAAAATAGGTGACTTCCTGTTCATTTCAATCTATATTACTTATAGTTAAGTCTTGGTACACTACACATGTGCCGAAATTAATTCACCAAATGCTGAAACTCGTTAAGTGGCGCTATAGAGCCATTTTACCACGAGCACATTTCGAGCCGTCAAAAAATGCACAGAATGTTCTGAAACATTATGAATATGGTTAAACCAATCCTAGCTCAAAAATACAAAAAAAGATACATAAATAAATACTGATATTTATATTTTTATTTATTCACACCTTTATGTTTTTCCTCTATTTTTGCCTAAACTGATCTGTAAAGTGTAAAACTTGGTGCTGCTAGTTTAATCAAAACAATCAAAGGCAGATTTGTACGATTGGTTTCCAAACGACATGCGACAAGGATCCACCCCCAAAGTTTGTCAACCTCCGCTCTTTTTGTTAGGTGAGAACGTAACATGTGAAGAACCCTGAACCAAACGATGACATGTGACTTGTGGATTAAAACCGCAGAGACATCCAAACCCATTAGATCTATAAAAAGCCATGCTCAAGGAATGACCTCAGAGGTGCTGCGTCCCTGAGTTCATCCATGGCACGCCTCCTTCTCTATTGGGGGCTAATGAAGTAGCCTAACTGAAGAGAACTTGATTAAGATCCCAAATTGAAATTCTCTTACCTGGAGTCAGAAGGTCGAGTGGTGAAAGGAGGAGAACATAGAGAAAAAAAGGAGAGAGAGAGAGAGAGAGAGAATAATAGATCAGGTTCATTTCCCATTAAAAGTACTGTCTATGCTCAAGTCAGGCTAACAAATATTAACACAGAAACAGGCGGCGCATCGTGTCACATGTCGGATGACTTTTGTTCTCGCTTGTAAACGCTAAGATTAATTTGTTAACACCAGCTTCCCAGCAGAGCTCCGGCGGTGTGTTTGGCATGACAGGCGTTGTTAGTCGAGGAAAAACAAAAGCCCTTCTGGAGACTTTAGCCTAATCTAGCAAAGCCGGTTCAATTTCCAAATGTCAGCATCTATAAGAACTCAAGAACGAAGCAGGTGTTCTCTTCACGGACGCTGTAATGGATGAGCGCATGTTTTATACGTTCGACTTCTGCGGACATGAATTACTTGCTAATGACAAGCAACATGGAAAACATCGAGGTGCACAGCAAAGAAAGAGTCGCACGAATGGTTAAACACTAGAAACAGTTGTTAGGGGAGAGTGCTGGAGCGTCTAGGGATTGCAAGGCACCCTAGGGAGCCGTCGTCCAGCTGAGCGCATCTGGGTTTGAGCTTGAGCCAGCTCTGAATACTGATGCCGGTGACTGATTGCCTTGTCTGGAAGATCTAATTTGAAAGGTGGACAGTGATGAATGTCTCTTCCTATGCTCAGAGTCTGTCTGATGTATTATGCATCTGTACGGCGGATCACAGCACCTGATGAGGAGCGCTGAGACTCTATGGAGAGACCGAGGCCGGACGTGTCCGTCGCACCGTGGCACTGTTTATATAAATGACTGCTTCTCCAGCGCTCGTATGGTTTCGCCGATATGCAGGAAACTTAATCGGGCCTGGCATTAATGGGGGGATGACTGACTGCCGCTGTCCTGCCCTCGTGTTTGATGAGCCACAAATTTGACAAAATCTTTTAACACTGAGACCTCTGCGGCCTGTAAGAGCATGCAGTAATTGTCAGAGACGGAAGAGTTTAGGCGCTGGCTGCCAAAACACCACTGCCTTCCCTCTTGATGCGTAACAGGAAGTGACGGAAGAGGCTGTTCCTAAAGGCAGCCATGTTGTAATTCCACAGCTAAATCATGTTTATACCCCTGGATCCATTGGCAGAAAAATGCTATAAAAAAAGAAATGTTTGATTCATTTTTTTTTTGTTTTGATTCAGCAGTCCAGAGCACCTGATGCCACTTTTCTGCAGTTCATATGTTTCTGTGCATACTTGAGCCTTGGGTCGTTTGTTTTAGATTTCTCCGGACAGTAGAGGGGTGCACCTGGGTTCCAATGGGGACAACTACGATCCTCAGTGTTTCATAGTGCTTCTTCAAAAGAGATTGAACAGAATCTTGAAACCCCAGACTGCTTTGATATCTTTGTCTGGGAGCTTGTTGATGCAGAATAACTACCTTGGTTCAATGCTAAACCTCTTACATGGCTGTTTCTGTTTCAGTTCATGACTGGGTTTTAACTTACATTAGACAATAATAATTGGCGGATCATTCACCTGACGTGTAGCTGGAAGAATTGATGCTGGTTTGAAGGGTAGTACTTTGTTTTTTGCTCTTTTCAATAGCTTTGCATTAACCAAGTTTACAAAAAGAAACATTATTTTTCTTATATTTCTGAACATTTTACAGCATTTTTCACAACTACTTCTCGATTTTGTCTCTGAATGAAGAGAATTTTTTGTTGCTCATTTCATTTTACCTTACATAAAGGAAAGGGGCGTGGTTCCTTGAGTGACAGTCATTGAGTGTGTTGAAATCCTCATTCAACTGTACCTTTTACCCGTTTCCCATTATAACACTATAACTGTGTTCTGTGTATTGAAAGATTATGCGCACTTCAACCAGGCGAACCAGTCTCCGCCTCCAAAAGCAGGTACGTCATATTATACGAAAAAAGGTCTTCTCATAACGCAGCGGTTTATCAGGAAGTGACGATGTCGTTCTCTTGGATGGAAACAGCGCTTTATTCGCAAATATTTTATGCAATAGTTCAGTTTTGGTAGTCCATACATTTAATTTGCATCTTTGGATGTAAACGCTGCAAGTGAATTCGTCCCACTGTGGCTTGCATCTTCTTTTCAGAGCAACCCTTACCTTTACAACCAGCGTTGTGCTCCTCACTCCAGGAAGTAATGTGCCTCTCATTCTGTATTTAACCTCTCACACCCCCCTTTGCCCCTGAGAGGACTCACATTTGTAATGCACACCAGCAGTATTGACTGAACTGTTGTGACTGTCACCGGGGGGCCTAACAAGTTCATGTCTTCTCTAATTGAGCCATTTTACCATCAGCCGTGTTTTTATCACAAGGCATGCTTGTCTCAGTCTCTCAGATGTGATTTCCTCGCCCTCTTCTACCGTATTTATGCCTCAGATAACTGGAGTTATGCACAAGCAATCCACAATATCAACTTTCAATCTGGTATTTCAAACAAACAAATCACTCTCCTTCAGGGTGCCACAGCCATAGGGGATGTGGGTGTTTAAATACAGACACTTTTCTCGCACCTTTTCCAACAGTTTTTCCAGCACTAAAGTCAAAACATTTGGAAGAAATAGAAATCCACGAGACCTCAAGCATCATGTCTAAGCCTTACAGATCACTTGACCAGCAGCTGAGCCATACACAGCAATAGAATTCCCTGAAGCAGGCTTTTGTATTTTTCCCCCTTAGTGACGGTAAATATTTTTTTCAAGGTGCAGTCAAGTTCAGAAGACTTGCTATCCTGGTCCCAAAGCAGACACTTTGGTTTTCTAATGAATCCAGAATGAACTTCATATTGCGATGATCGGCCAGTTTTGATTGGTGGACAGTCACTTTGAAGATGCTGTTCTGTGTGTTATATTTGGCTGTTACATCCCAGTGTTCCGATGTTTATTGTGCTGTGCATGTTTTGAAATGGAAAAACGGTTCAGAACATGACGTCGAGCTGTTCAGTGACAGAGCAACTGTTGAGTTACGCTGTTGGTGGTATGTTCGTATTGCTGTGAATCTAAATACACTGTTGAATAGAACTTTTGGTTGCATTGGAAACCCACCGATTAGAGAGATGCTCCACTGAGATGACACCATGGGGCCTGAAGAGCCAGCCTGGATACATGGGCTTTTTATAGAGAAGAATGTTCTGCTTTACCAACAGAGAAGATAAAGAACCTCATCGACATCTACCTCAAGAGACTGTCACTGCTGTTAAAGAGGGGATTAGA